TATATATTGGATTACTACCTCGTCAAACTCGGCTAGCAGCTCCTTAACTTTGTGGAGGTACTTCATCACGAGGGGACCCTTGGCTTGATATTTTCCCTCAACTTGTAAGGTAATCAGCTGCGAGTCACTCATGATTTTTATCTTTCTAGCCCCATGTTCTTTCGCTTGTACGATCCCGGCAATGAACGCCTCGTACTCAGCTTGGTTGTTGTAGGTCAAAAATGCCAGGTGAAGTGAATGCTCAATGGACACTCCTTCCGGGGTCTCAACGTTCACCCCAGCTCCACTCCCCTTAGAGTTCGAGGATCCATCAACATGTATTGTCCAGAGATCTTCATTCTCTTTTCCCTTTTCATTGGATGGGGTTAGCTCCAAGATGAAGTCGGCCAATGCTTAAGACTTAATCGCCTGCCGAGGCTTATATGATATGTCGAACTCAGAGAGCTCGACAGCCCAGTTGATCATTCTTCTAGCTAGGTCCGGCTTGTGAAGTACTTGCCTGATGGGCTGATTTGTTCGCACAATGACTCGGTGACCCTGGAAGTAAGGTCGGAGCCTCCTTGCTGTGCTAAGCAGGGCAAATGCGACTTTTTCGAGCTTCTGATAACGAAGCTCAGATCCTTGCAAGGTTCGACTTACAAAGTAGATCGGCTGTTGTGCTTTGTCTGTCTCCTGTACCAAGGCGGCACTGATGGCCTCTTCCCCCACTGATAAGTACAAGATCAACATTTCTCCGGGCTCTGGTTTTGACAGTACAGGAGGGGTGGCCAGGAAACTCTTAATATTTTCGAATGCATTTTGGCATTCTTCTCCCAATCCAAACTCAGCTTCCTTTTTGAGGAGCTTAAAGAAAGGCAAAGCCTTCTCTGCCGATTTAGGCAAAAATCTGGTCAGGGCCGCAAGACGTCCTGTGAGCTGTTGGATTTCTTTCTTGCTTTCGGGCCGCTTCTTTTCAAGGACGGCCCTGCATTTGTCGGGGTTCACTTCTATTCCTCGGTTGGTAAGCATGAAGCCCAGAAATTTTCTAGCTGGTACCCCAAAAGCACATTTCGCCGGGTTCAGCCTGATCTTGCGAGCTCTCAGTTGCTCAAAAGTTTCCCTGAGGTCGGTTATATGTGCCGATATGTGCAACGACTTGACAATCATGTCGTCGATGTATACCTCTAGGTTTCTCCCAATTCGCCCTTGAAAAACGCGGTTCATCATCCGCTGATATGTCGCCCCTGCATTTTTGAGACCGAAAGGCATGATGTTGTAGCAGAAATTTCCCTTCTCAGAGATGAAGGCAGTTTTTTCGTGGTCGTCAGGGTGTAGTGGGATTTGGTTGTACCCAGAGTACGCGTCCATAAATGAGAGTAGCTGAAATTGTGACAAATTGTCAACTAGCTGGTTGATGCTCGGCATGGGGTATGAGTCCTTTGGGCAGACCTTATTGAGGTCGGTGTAGTCCATGCATATCCTCCATTTCCTACTTGGTTTCTTTACCATCACCACGTTAGACAGCCAAGTGGTATACTTGTTAGTATTTGGGTGTCCTAGAGACAATCTTATGATTAAATAAGGACATAGATGTACACCTTTGTATTGTCGCAAATAAATAAAAGCATTCTTTATCTTGTTTCATATTTTGTCTCGGTATTACTGTTAACTGGATAAACCCCTTGACATAAAATAAGTATCTCTTGAGTATCTGTGATGAGATAACGATCATGAGTATTCAAGGATATTGGATGTTTATTCCTAATTTTATGTTCCTAGTCTAAAGACACTGAGAATGGGGATCAGTGATCTCGGGTAAGACTAGCACGACTTATCTACTTGTATTCGGATACAAGGTAAAGACCTCATGAGCTACAGATATTGAGATGTCTTAGCTAAAGTCGTGGGTGGACATATAAGGGTATAGCTCGCACTGAATAGACCCACAAAGAGACTCTATGAGGAAATCTCACATAGAGTATCATTAGAGTAGTCTCTTATATTTGGGTATGTCTTTCCTTAGACCAGAAGTTATTACCTAGACTGTGTTCTAGAAGGCATGCTTTGACTATATACCTCGTCTGCCTGAAACATGGAGACTCATAGGTATACTGTTGGGCTTGTCCTGAAAGAGCACACGGCTAGGGTGATAAGCTGAAGGAATTCGTCAGATCTCTGTGAGAGATTAGGTTATCTGTAAGCCGGAAAAATCGGGATGACATTTACAGGGACTCGGGAATCTATGCATAGTAAAAGAGATCATGAGATGATCTGCCTTTAGAGTCAGTAAATTGAAGATTCCCTATTTCGAATAAAGCTTACCCTAAACCGCAAGGGTTGATACGTTTCCTTACCCTAGGTTTTATGGGAAGGAAACCGAGACGAAAGGTAATACATACGGCAACCAAATATGTGTAATAGGATGATTATGTCATTAACCTAACTAGCTCTGGGGCAACAAAGCATTGCTAGTGCTCTGTGTTGTCATTAGATGGGTTGTGGGCTTATTGGGCCCAAGCCCATTTATGTCAGTGGCTATGTTGGGCCTAATGGGTCACACACTAACACCTTATTGTCATGACAATATAGCATTAAAGGTATTGGGCCTAATAATGGTTGTTAGCCCAAGAAGAAGTTTGGAAGCCCACCAAAAGGAAAAAGGGCGCATGGTTAGTTAATGGGCTTGGATGGTCCAAGACATTACTAATTAATTTAATTAGTTAAATTAATTATCAAATGTTTAAATTTTGAATTTTGAATTTGAAATTTGAAATTTGAAATTTGAATTTTGAATTTGAATTTTGTAATTCGAATTTTGAATTTTGAAATTCGAATTTTGATTTTTGAATTTGAAATTTGAAATTTGAAATTTGAAATTTAAAATTTTGAATTTTGAATTTTGAATTTGAATTTTGAAATTTGAAATTTGAATTTTAATTTGGAATTTGGAATTTGAATTTAAAATTTAAATATTTGAACGTTTGAATTCAAATGTTTGAATTCGAATTTGAATTGGCTATGAAAAGTTGTTTCATAACAAAAGGATAAGATAAGATCTTGTTGGAACAAATCCCAAATATCAAGAGGAGATCTTTGAGAATCTTCTAGTGAGGATATGGGGCGCTGGTTTAGGTATCTGATGATGGTCATAGGATCAACCAAATGAGCTCCAGTCAGATTTGGTTTGTTGAGAGAATAAGTGAGACAGTTGGTTCAAGTTTGAATGCAACTGTAATATATCTGGACTGTTATGAGGCCAAGTGGGGCGCACCATATGGCTGGCCATATGATGGTTGTTGAGTCAGATTCTTGTTGAGATATTCACTTGATATCATGAGGATGTGAGAGGAGGTTGTTGACAAGATTGGAATTTTGCAACAACTCCACTCATCCCCCTAGTGTGCGCTATATATAGGGCCTTATTTGAGTGAAGAAAATTAGATTTTTAATTAACTCATTCTTTCATCTCCTTGTGGGTTCCTTTTGAGGTTTTTCTTAAGAGAGTTTCGAAATAACCTAGCCTTTTTCAAAGAAAACCATGCGCCACTTTTGTGTCTATTCTTGCTGAATATTCACTCTTCTAACAACCTTGACCTAGCCTCCTCCTTCACACATTGGGCGCATAGCTTGCCTCCATTGGTGTTTTCGTTGGTGGCCTTGAAGAAGAGTTCTTCCGTCTTGACAAAGGGTGGTGTGGATCAACATTAGAGGGCTTGCATCTTCAAGCCTCATCTTGATCATCCTGCAGTCTTGGAAAGCAAACAAGGTAACATCCATGCCCTAAAGCATGTTTCTTGATATGGTATATGTTATTCCACTCGAAAAATTTTGTTTTTCCCTCTCACATGCCTCGACCTTCAAGGTCAGTTTCTTTCTATACTGTATTTCCCTGATGAATCCGGCTTCTAGCAACTCGTCGACGTGCTCATTCAAGGCCTGACGTCGGTCGGATCCTATCTTCCTCTTCTTTGGGACACTGGATGTGATCCAGGGTACATGGAGAGCTTGTGGCAGCAGAAAGATGGGTCTATTCCTGGGATCTCCGAGGCTTTCCACGCAAATACGTCGCGGTTTTCCTTTAAGAAGGAAACCAGTTCCTCTTTGAAGTCAGCATCTAGGCCTTTTCCTAGCTTGGTGTGCCCTTTGCCGTTCTCCGCAATATCGACATCCTCCAGCTCTCCTTGGGGTTCTGGACGAGGTGTTAGGAGCTCCTCTCTCACGTCGAGTTCCACCAAGTTGACCTCGCTTCCACATGCCTTCAGTGATTGGTAACTCCTCCCTCTTTAAGCCGAGGTGGAGATGATGGACCTCCATGATGGATGGTAGAGTCTCATAGTAGCACTTTCTTGATTCTTCTTGATCACCTCTTATGGTGATGATCTCGTTGTTCATCCCAGGCATTTTCAATGCTTGATGTCTAGTGGAGATCAGTATATCCCATTCACGGATTGTAGGCCGGCCAATGATCACGTTGTAGGAAGACAAGGTGTCCACCACGACGAAACGAACCCTTCTAGCACGAAACGAGTCCTTCGTGCCCAAGGTCAACTTTAGGTCGTGTAGCCTTTTGGAGGGGACGCCGCTTCGTTGAACCCGACCAGCTCGGTGACACATGGTTTCAAGTCCTTCTCATCCAGGTTCATCCTCTGGAAAGCATCCCAGAGAATTATGTCAGCTGAGCTTCCGTGGTCAATAAATATTCTCTTCACTCGGCAATTGACTAGCACTCCAGTGATCCCCAATCCGTCAGTGTGTCCGGGTACGACCATTGCTAGTTCCTCCTGAGTGAAGAACAGTCTTGGGGGTGCAGGTTTGTTGTCTTCCCCTTTGAAGGTCGGCCTGTCTCTTACAGACATGACCTCCTTTAGGTACTTTCTTCTGGCGTTAGCCGAGTCTCCTCCCCCATCCAGAGCTCCACTTATCACATTGCATTCGAATTCGGCTTCGGGAAAGGCCTTGTCCTTATCATCGACCTCTTTGCCTTTGGCAGGTCGGTCTTGTCTTTGATCCTTTCTGTCTTCTCACTTCAGGCTTCGACTTCTGCTTCGGCTTCTTTGTCGTCGCTTATTATTTTTCTTTCCCTGTGTTCGGATGATATATTGCTTCAACTTCCCATCTCTGACGTGCTCTTCAATAGCATCTCGAAGGTCCCAGCAGTCATCCGTGATGTGACCGTTTTGATCATGGAAAGCGCAGTATTTGTTTCTGTCTATCCCGCTCTTGGCTTTGAGTGGGCGAGGTCTCTCGACGTTGCGCATCTCGGTCTGGGCCACCTCTTTCCATATCCTGGATCTGGACATGTTCAGGGGTGTGTAATCATCATACTTCCTTCTTGGAGATCGATCGTCCGACCGCTTATCGTGAGAATCCTTCCCTTTTTTGGATCCTTTCTGGTCCCGTTCTTTGTTATTTTTCTTACTCGGGCTCCGACGTGTCGGATTTCGTCCTCGAGACTCGACGTAGACCTTTTGCATATCTTCCACATCAATGTATTTATCCGACCTTCGTCGGAACTCCTCCAGATCATTCACCGGGTTCTTATAGATTGATCTCGCAAGTGGAGAGTCACCATCTAATCCTGAGATGATTAAGTGAAGGTGCACCGCTTCAGTTAAACCTCGGACCTTGAGGGAAGCATCCTTGAACCTGTCGAGGTACTTCCTCAGCGATTCATTCTCTTTCTGTCGAATTCTTCCCAGAGTGTAGGGCGGCATTTGATGCACCTTGCTTGTTGCAAAGTTCAGTCGAAAAGTCCGGGCTAGGTCATCAAACGAGTCGATTAATTTCCTGGTGAGCCTGCTTATCCAGGTCATCGCCTGACCAGTCAATGTTGTCTCAAAGATTCTGGCCTTAATAGGTCCAGTGATCCCGTTGAACAACATTTCGATCTTGAAAGCCGCTAAATGGGCTTCTGGGTCCTGACTTCCGTCGTACGGAGGTATTCTGGTGCTCTTGAATCTTGGAGGTATAGCCAGGTTCATGAGCCTCTCAGTGAATGGGCTATCATTAGCGTCCTAATCATCTAGGTAGTTCTCGTCATGGTTGTCGTTCGGGACTCCACCATTCCGGTCGTTGTCGAAGTTTGGGATCTGCACATTCTGTGTGTGTCCTTCAGTTGTGGCCGCGTTCTGATGTCGCGGGCCACCATCAACAGCACGGCCATCTCTTCCAGGTTGGCCTTCAGCATTTTGATTGCGGAGGTCTTCAGCATTCTGGTGTTGGACGCCTTCAGCATTCTGGTATTGGTCGACTTCAACATTCTGTGCGTGTCCTTCAGTTGTAGCCGAGGTTCCGATCACTGCGCACAAGCAATAGGCTTATAGCCAAGAGGTGGGTGAGTGCACAGCGTGGGCAGAAGTAGTAAATTAGTTCTGAGTCCTTACCTGGGGTCATTAGGCTCTTATTTATAGGATTACCTTCCTAGGCTTGGGCCTTTTGAGATTCCCCAATTGTAGTAGGATTCAACTCCCCTTCTGTTGGGATGTGATCCTTATCTTCTACTATTTGGCTGTTTGGAGTTGTTGAGATGTTGATGACTCTGTATCTCACCAGATATTCTGATAGGTAGTTGGGATATATTCATATCCATAACAGTTGCCCCCCAGCTCGGTATTCCGAGGTTCGGGATGTCGAGGTGCTATTGTGTTACCTCGGATTCAGTTTTGTCCGAGTTCATTGATCTGGGGTTTGGAATTTCGAGTTTTTGAAGTCTGCGCTCTAACTCGGAGTTTCTTTCGTCAAGATCGTACGCGTTATGCCCCTTGATCTTCCTTGATGTTTGTATGTATAGTCGAGTGAGGGCATGTCGGATGCGACTTGAACTCATTTTGAGATTTTGGATATCGTTGTTCCGAGTTTTAATTTCACTGTGCTGGACCGAGTTGACATTCTCGGTCATGTTGTGACCTTTGGCTATGATCTTTTGGTTGACCTTTTATTTGATTTGAGACTTCATGGCACCATTGGAGCTCGGAAGTCGGGGCTTGGCCTCATCACATCTGCCTGACCTTTCGTGTCACGCCTGCTGTGATGGTTACGACGATCCACGCGTTTTACGCTCGTTGGTGGTTCGTGCATCGTGCAGAGTGTGCTATGCTGAGCCTTGTGTAGGTCATGATTGAGCACATTGAATGCGTGCAGAAGTGATTTCGCTATTTTGCCCCTGGCTACTCGAACGGTTTGCAGCCTTTCCCTCTTCGCGCCTATGACTTTACTTCTTCTTTAAATACTAGCTTTTCAACCGGTATACGATTTTCGTTTCTCCTGGGCTCTCTTCTTCCTTTTCTGGTTCTGTGCCTTCGAAACTTTCTTGGAGCTCTTGTCAATTTCAGTGAAGGTTTTTGCGTGTTTGAGTTTAGTCCTCATCATCTTCACTTCCATATTCAGGTACCCTCACGTTCCTTCACTTTTATAAGTTTGTTTTTCGCTTGGTTTAAGTTGAATTTAATAGCTGTCCTCATTGGAAGCGAGGGTGGTTTTTACGTTCCGCCCTTTCGAATCCCTAGTTTCCTGTTTCCCTCTTCGGAGTGTTGTTTGGGGTTCGTGATGAGTGCCCCTAGCTCTTCTTCTGGGCAGGCTTCTGGCCGAGGTGATGAAGTGATGGAGGAGGTAGTGAGGCGATTGCTTAGGTCGGTGCAGTACTGGCATTTTGGTAAAGAGTATACTAAGGAGGAGAAGCTTCAACAACTTCTCAGTGGTCATAGGGGAAGTCGTCGGAGATCCCGAGGTGGTCTTGGTAGGAGAGGGAGAGGTCGGGTAGGAGGAGGTCATCAAAGCCAACTTAGTTTTTCCACCAACTAGCCTCCTTTAGCGGATCCTTCACTGCCTAGGATGAGTTCCTCACCCGAGCCCGTCCCTTTGTCCTACATACTGCCGTCCTCCCAGGTGGCTCCGGGTTCGAGATCCGTTCTAGATCGGATTCCTCCCCTTGGTTTGAGCGATAGCTCCTCCAGTCTTTCTTCGACCGAGCTAGGTTTTCCTGAATCAGTCGTCCCTTCTTGCTTCGATGACTCTGCTGCAAGTCGGGTACCATTTGTTGACCTCGTCAGCAGTTCTGAAAGCTCCATCCTTTTTTCGTGGAGTCCATGCTCATTTCCGTCACATCTCGAAAGTCCTAGATCGGATTCGGATGATTTTTGTACTGATCCTCACCCTTCGTGTTCCAGGACCACGACAATGGAGGAGTCCGACGTCCAGAATTGGGTCACCCACGAGGTCCTAAGCCTGCGGTCCACAATGTCTCCTGCTGACGTGGCCCAGCTTCCGGTTGGAGACCCTAGTGGGGTGGATATGCTCCCAGCGGGTGATTATCCGGTGTGCGCGGGGCCTATTTTAGACGAGCCCCACTTATTTTTTCTTTATAGAGATCTGATCACTAGGTTAGGGATTCAGTTTCTTTTCACCGAGTTCTAGATGGTTGTAATTCGTAGACTTCGGGTTGCGCCTTCCCAACTCCTGGGCCTTCATCCGGGGTTTTGAACGAGTTTGCGCCTACCTCTGTCTTCCTTGTACAGTTTGCCTCTTTCTATACTTTTTTGATGTGTATACAGCCCGGACTGGGGCCGAGACTAAGGAGAGAGAGAAAGGGTTGGGTGACTTTCTGAGGCGCTCCAAATTGGGGTATTTTTATCCCATACTCCCAATCTTTTAAGGGTTTTAAGGACGCCTACTTCAGGGTAGTAGCTCGTTTGGACTACTTACCGTGGTTTGCCTCGTCTTGGGGAGACGTGGGGACCTGGCGAGTCGGTTCGAGCTTTACTGGACGCGGAGTCACTATCAACGGCATCCTAGGGACTACGCTACTGCTGGAGTGGCCCTTTCCGACTCGGAGAGACTGGCAGCGTCTGTCCTGGTTAGTTATGCCAAGAAATTCGGCATTATCGATTTGAGTCTGTAAGAACCCGCACCGTTAATTAAGGTATTAAATTAATTAATTATGCAAAAATAGGAGATGATTCCATAATTGACCCTAATAATTATTTATGAGGCTTAATAATCATAATAAGTGATTAAGAATGCTGAAAGTCGTTTTTCGGAAGAAAAGTGCAGATACCGGTTCTGCTAGTCGGTATAAATGCGTACCGAAAAAGTATCCCGGAAAATTAAAGTAAGTGCATGATAATTACTAGAATAATATGTAGGACTTGCAAAACGAGTTTCAAGTCCAAATAATGAGAACTAGTGCTAGATACCGGTACTGGCTTTGAAGAGCGCGTACCGAAAAGTTGCTCAGAAAAATATGATAAATCTTAGAAAATTATGTAGTTTCATAATCCAAAGTTTGGGATTAAAATGCTAACCGTAGCAATTAAAGTTAATACTGTGTGTTTAAGTGTGTTTGGGCTATAAATACTCCCATTATGGGCACAAAACCCTAGGACCAGAATTCCCTACGTGACTCACTTAGTGGCTGAGTGTTGGCTACTGTTCCATTGTCCTTCCCTTCATCATTTCTTGAGCTTGTGGCCATTTCCTTCACAAACTCTTCACCCTAAACACTTGTTCTTGTTTGAGTGAGCCTTTGGAGGTTGGAAGACACCATTTTTCTGAGTGAGCAGCCACTGTTCTTGTTTGTTTGGGGGCTGACCTTGGTGGTTGGGTTGAAAGGAGCCTTGTCTTGGTTTTTGGTGGTCCCAGTGTTGACCTTTTGTGCTAAAGGGTCAACCTTTCTTACCATTTTCGTGCATCCTCTTGTGACAGAAGCTTGAGACTGATTGTGAGTTCCAAAGGGCAACCTTTCCTTCTGTTTTGAGCTGGGGTATGTGTACCAACCTTTAACTTGAGTTTAAATGCTTAAAAATGGTACCTTGATGCATCCAATGACTTAAAGTTGATAAGTTGTTGTTGGGTAATGTTGAACACGCCTAGAAATGCATTATTAGATGTTTAAAATCGATAAAAAGGGAACCTTTAAGGGATATCTTCACGAAAATGCAGAAACTGCATTCTGTCGTGAAATATCCGGATATTTGTCGAACAGATATCCGGATATTGAATATCCGGATATGTGAATTTGGATATCCGGATATTGCATATCCGGATATGGGCAGTGAGATATCCGGATATTGCATATCCGGATATGGTCCCGAGGAATATCCGCATATTCTGGGATTTCGCAGATAAATAGCTGTGTTGTGTGTACAATAGGCTATTGGGGGTTTGTGGACCCTAGTTTGATGAAGTTGAACTTCTGTATGTATTGGTCTAAGCCAGAATCATGTGATTAAGGGCTTGTGGCTTTGTTAGAAGCTTTAAGAGTTGAAAACATAATGAAAAGACGTTGTCTTTAATTGTATGCATGTGGTACATGTTTATTGATTTAGATTTGGTCCATATCATATTGTGATCTGCTGTGATTGGACTTTGAGCTTGTGGTATTGGATAGCTAGCTTAGAGGTAAGCTTTCGTGTCCTCGGTTTAGCCATGTTGTGGTTCCACCATGTCCCATGGGGATATGGTATATGCATGCTGTGTTACATGCTTTTGATGTTTTGGAAATGTTGTTGAGCTATTATATGTTAGTGCCTTGTTGATATGCATGGAGGTGTTCCACCTATACGGTAAGCCTGAGTATGTAGAACATACAAGAGGGTGAGGTTGTGGGTGAGGTGCAAGCGGTGTTCCTTGTACTACATGTAGGGAATAGACGTATTCCTACATTTCTCTGGCCAGTAGATAGTGATTACACACATGCCATAGATATTTGTTGCACTACATAGTTTTGGAACTGATAATGATATAAATGCTTTTTGAACTTATATTGCACGTGTAAGTGAGCTTGGGGTGGAAGATCCTTTAGGACCCCTTGTCTTACTGAGATTTCTAGTTTAGAGATCTCACCCCACGTTTGGGGAATGCTTATTTCAGGGTCAGGTAATGTTGAGACCTTAGGCGGCAGGAGGCCGGAGCTGAGTTAGATTGCTGTTATATTATGCTACCATGATTGGATGCTGGATTTGCATGCTGCTTTTATGCTTATAGC